CTCAAACTGATAACTTGGAGACATCCTCGACTGCTCTCTGTGGAGATGGTAGAGTAGGTAAAGGCAGCTGCTGCCAAGCCTGATGACCTGAGTTTTATCTCTGAGAACCATATGGAAGAAAGACACAACTGACTCCCTGAACTTATCCTGTACTTTCACAAGCACACCAGGGAACACATGTGACCACATACAATACATAAATATATGTAATGGAAATAATATAAGGGGCTGGAGAGTTGCCTTGTTAGTTGATCGTTAATGTTCTTCCAAAGAACCCAAGTTAGGATTCCACAACAGTTGCTCCACAGATGCCTGTTGCACGCTCACAAATGTCTGTAACTCCTGTTTCAGACAATCAGACATTCTCTTAGACAAGCATGCAGACACAACACTCATACACATAGAATAATAAAAACAAATGCTTTATAAACCAGAAGTTACATTACTATCATTCTAGCAAAAACTGAGCATATCTTTCAGGGGAGGTTTTAGGCGTCTCTGAACCACTGCAGTATGGAGGAATCAGTGTTGGCTCTTGGTTCTGAAGATCTTATTGGAATGTATCAACACTCACTTCATGGATTAAGCTATTTCCTACACTATGAGTTCCCAAACCACAGAGTTACAGGATCCCTCCTCCCCTGAGGAAGGACATAAATACAAATCTTCATAGAACATGAATCACAAGAGGCTGGGGAGATGGTTCAGTCAGTGAAATGCTTGTCTTGTAAATGTGAGCAACTGAGTCTTTATTACATGTTACCCTTTAGAAATAAATAAAGAGAAGGAGAGTGAAACAAAGGAAGAATAAAAGAGAGGAGGATGGAGAAGAGTTGGGTAGATGGCAGTGTAAGCATACTCTGAACAACACAAAGAACAATATGGCACCAGAAACCAGAGATCCTATATCAGCAAGACCTGGACAGCCTAACACAGATGAAGAAGAAGAAACTGATGTTAAAATAGTTATATGAAGATGATAGAGTCCCTTAAAGAGGAAATGAAAAGTCCCCTGAATGAAATGGAGGGAAAGATGAACAAAAAATTAGAAGAAATCAATAAATCCCTTAAAGAAAGCCAAGAAAACCAAGATGAAAAAAAAAGCAACCAAACAATTCCAAGACTTGAAAATTGAAATAGAAGCCATAAAGAAAACACAAACCTAGGGAATTCTGGAAATAGTAAAGCTGGGTAAACTAACAGGAACTGCAGGTGCACTCATAACCAACAGAATACAAGAGATGGGAGAGCAAATCTCAGGCACTGAAGAAACAATAGCAGAAATAGATCCATTGGTCAAAGAAAATGTTACATCCAACAAATTCTTAACACAAATTATTCGGGAAATCTGGGACACCATAAAAAGATCAAACCTTAGAAAAATAAGGGTATAAGGAGAAGAAGTCCAGCTCAAAGGCACAGAAAATATGTGCAACAAAATCTTAAAAGAAGACTTTTCCAACCTAAAGAAGGATTTGCCTATAAATGTACGAGAAGCTTACAGAACAGAAACTGACTTACCAGAAAAGGTTCCCTTATCATACAATAATCAAAACACTAAACATACAGAATAAAGAAAGAATATTAACAGCTGCAAAGGAAAAAGAACAAGAAACATATAAAGGCAGATCCATCAGAATTACATCTGACTTCTCAAAGGATACTCTGAAAGTCAGAGGACCCTGGATAGACATTCGGCAAATACTAATAGACCATGGATGCCAGGCAAGACTATTATACCAAGAAAAGATTTCAATCACCGTAGATGGAGAAAACAAGATATTCCATGACAAAACCAGATTTAAAAAATACCGAGAAGAGAAGAGAAGGATCGCTGTTCTGTCTCAAGAGTCCACCATAAAGAATCTCACAAGATTCCCTCAGTTTCTGCAGCCCAGACCTCTCTTCCAGGCATCTGCATGGCTGGCCCATCACTCCTGCTTCTAAGACACGCGGGTCCAGTAGAGAGGAAGACACACACTAACCTTCAGGAGGACTTTAGTAGGAGAAGTAGAGCGTAGTGTTCACACACAGCCATGGTGGAGACTCGAAGGGAAAGAGCCTTCAGTTTAAAAACACAGGCAGAGTTTCTGACTCTTTCACATCACAAGGAATCGGGGAAAGTTCCATATCAAATGACCTGTGTGTTATAAGCCTGTAAAGCATGGGATAAAAGTAGGGCCATACCTATGTAGATGCATGCCAACAGAAATTCACATCAAGTTGGTAGTTAGCTTTGTGTCTCAGATTGGAACAACTTCTATCAGTATGAAGAGGTGGAAATTACTCTGGGCAGCTAAAGATAAGATAAATATCTTGCTGGGAATTCAGTGATTAAATTCAAGTATTGCAGGCAAAGTTTGCATATTACGAGTAGAGAAGAGAAAAAAGGAAGGATTAGTATAGAGCCAAGGTTTGAGAGGCTGCGGTTTATCAGTTAGGAGAAAACTGACTTAGAATTGTGGGCCTATGCCACCATGTCCAGCCTTCCTCAGTCACAAAATGTTTTAGTTTTTGTTTTTTAGGTTTAAAACATCCGATGATTTTTATGTTTGTGAGTGTTTTGTCCGCATGTATGTAAGTGCACTGTCTGTGTGCCTTGTGCCAGCTGAGGCCAGGAGATGGTATTAGACACCAGGGAACTGGAGTTATGGATGGCTATAAACACCATGTAAGTGTTGGGAACTGAACCTGGGTCTTCTGCAAGAGTCCTAAGTGCTCTTAACTGTTGAGCCATCTCTCTATCCCCAAGCTTAAGAGTGCTGCTTTTTTTGGTTAAATTGCAAGTTGCTCTGATTTTTCTCAGAAACTCATTTCTATTCACTCCTGGGGATTGAACACAGGGCCTCATATATTAGGCAAGCACTGTACCACTGAGCTATGCTCTCAGCCCTAACTTTTCTGTTCATTTGTTTCTTTTGACTTGGTTTTTGGGTTCAAGACAGGTTTTTCTCTGTGTAGTTCTGGATTTTCCGGAATTCACTATGAAGACTAAATTGGCCTTGAAGTCAGAAATCTACCTACCTCTGTCTCCCATTGCTGGGATTAAAGGCGTGCACCACCAAGTCCAGATGAGGCTAGATTTTTCCCAAAGGTATTGAATGAGGGGCTTATTTATTTATTTATTTATTTATTTATTTGTATATACATATTTTTTTGTTTTTTACGAGACAGGGTTTCTCTGTATTGTTTTGGAGGCTTCCGGTCCAGCCCGGCCTTGAACTCACAGAGATCCGCCTGCCTCTGCCTCCCGAGTGCTGGGATTGAATGAGGGGCTTATAAGGAGGATGAGATGCAAAATAGGGATTTAGAGGAGGGGAATCTAGGTGAACCAACATTTGAGAGGCTGTGGTTTATCTGTCAGGTGAAAACCTGCTTAGAATTATAATCCCATATCACCATGACCTGCAGTCCTCAGCCCCAAAGTGTTTTTATTGTTGTTTTGTTATTATGTTTAAAGGATTTGTTTATATTTATGTGTATGAGTGCTTTGACTGCATATATGTAAGTGCACTATATGTGTGCTTGGTGCCAGCAGAGCCCAAAAGATGGTATTGGATACCTGGAACTGGTGTTATAGATGAGTATACACACAATGGATGAATTGGGAACCAAACGTTGGTCTTCAATAAGAGCTGCAGGTGCTCTTAACTGTTGAGCCAACTCTCTATCCATAAGCTTAAGTGTACTGCTTTTCTGGATAAAAAGGACATTGATCTAATTTTTCTCAGATACTCATGTCTTATTAGACCTGGGGATTGAACCCGGGACCTCACAAATGCTAGGCAAGCACACTACCTATCTATTTGGGTTTTTTTATTTTTTATGTTTTGGGTGATTTTATTGTCACAGGGATTCTTTGTAGGCCTGGATGTCCTAGATCTCACTATGTAGACCAGGCTGACCTAGAATTCAGAGATTCACCTACCCTTTGCTGGAATTAAAAGCATGCATCACCACACCTGCCCAGGCTAGATTTTCCCAAAGGTATTGAAGGGTTTTAGAAGGAGGATGAGATGCAAAGTAGGGGTTCAGAGGAGAGGACAGTGTGGACAGAGGGGGTCCCCAGAGGGGAAGTGGAGCTGACTCCACACAGCTGTTGAGAGGTTCTGTGCACTTGACAGCTGTGAGGGGTGGGGTGGGATGATGGCAGCAGAGTGGCTGAGCTGTAGGAGGACAATGGCCTGCAGATCTGGTCAGGAAGAACAAGGAGTGAAAGCTGGGGAGTTTAAGGCATCTGTGGAGTCAGACACAGAGCATGCGCTGGGGAGAAGTCGGTTAGGTGGATCTCATTGGGGAGACCCAGGCAGACTGGAGAGCAGGGAAACTGCACTTTAGGTTTGGGTGGACAGGCAGACCCAGCAGTCAGGGGCCTGTGGGTATTTTTCCTGACTAAAAGCTTGTGGTGAGACTGAGGAGGAGCAGCCAGCTGTCAGAGCGCTGTGAAGGATGCCTGAGAGACAATGAGAGACAGCCAGTCCATGGGGTGTGGGCAGTCCAGCTGTGGAGTCTAGGGAGGGGTGCTGGCTGGACAGTCCAGCTGTGGAGTCTAGGGAGGGGTGCTGGCTGGACACAGATTGGCTGGAGGAGGTGCCCAGAGCTCTTTTTAAGGAAGATTCCAAATGATTCCAGAATAGCAGCTGTGGTGGCAAGGATTACTTTGAAAGGTGCCAGGGGTCAGAGAGAAAATTTTTAGCTGTTGTATTTGCAGGGGATACAAACTAAATATGATCAAAAAATCATGCCAGAGTAATTTGAACAGTTGTCAAAGATCACAAAGCTCTTCTCTCCTAAATTAGAGCTGAGAACGGAGGCAGAATTCAGTTTTTTGAGGGCACATAACTGTCACCTCCATGTTCTTACATGTAAAATGGGAGCATTGAATCTGATAGTTTGAAGGGTGGAAGAGCAGCTTCTGATCTGTATTAAGCCCTGAAGAAATATGTCAGCAATGGTTTTGCTGCATAGAATTCTTAGGACACGTCTCCTGGCAAAGGCGTGGCCAACTGAGTTCCTGCAGGCTCCCTGATTTCCACCCAGGAGTTCAATCGCTTGTTGGTGTCACTGAGCTAAGATGATTTTCCCTGGTTCCCAGTGGATTCTGTGTGTCTGTCTTCTGTCCTGGTGTTGTGATGCCGGGGTGTTGAGGGAAGTGGACCCAGCGTCAGAATCAGAGCCAGCACCAGCGGTGACCTGGTATGAGAAAGGTGAGTGGGGAGTAGACAGGCAATGCTCTTCCCTTCCCTGTCTGGGTTCACATCTGCAGGGTCAGAGCTGGAAGGTCCAGGACAGTGATTCCACAGCAGCTGCCTAACCCAGGTGTTGAGATTTGGAGGTTTATCTGCATTAGAAGGAAGGGAGCCAGATGTCCATGGTGAGGGCTCAGGGAGAGCTGTGCACCGCTAGGGTTTATCTGTCCTTGCTAAAACTCTAGCAGTGGTGGCTTCAGGCAGCAGCATGTGACAGTCAGGCCATTGTTCTCGGCAGAGCTGAACAGCACACTCATGCTTTCATTCCTTCACACATTGAATAGAGATATACCAATTACATGCATGTCCTTTATACAGTCACTACACAGCACTGACTACACCTGAGAATGAAACAGGCTGAATTCTCTGCCCTTCTGGAACTTACTTTCCAGTGGGGAAACACACTATAAAGAAATAAGGGAAAGTGTCCCGTGGTGATGAGTGCAGTGGAGACAGACAGAGAGCCTGGAAGGAGCTGGAGCTGGAGGTGTGAGTGTGAGCTTGTAGAGACAATGTTAGGAAAGGACTTTCCCAGAGACTGACATTGAGCAGGTCTGAAGGGGATGAGGGAAGATGTCATGTGGATGTGTGGTCAAAGGAACAGCAGAGACAAAGGCCCTGAGCTCAGCAAGTGATGTCCACAGTGCAGCAGGAGAGAGGGAGCACAGGAAGGGGGGGCACATCTCCTGGGGCTCTCAAGACAGTGGAAGGACTTGGAATTGGACTAGGAACATTTGAGGAGATGGGTAGCACAAACTGCCTACTTTACATTTGCAAGGAATTGTTCTGAGCCCATTGTGTATCTAGTGTCTGTAAGCACAACTTTAGGAAAGTAATTCACCTGCACTCAAGAAGCAGAGGCAGGAGGATATCTGTGACTTTGAGACCTGCCTGATCTACATGGCAAGTTCCAGGTCAGCCAGAGCTACATGGAGGGACCCAAAAATATAACATATATTTAGCTAAAGTTAAAAATGAGAGCCTGGCAGTGGTGGCGCACGCCTTTAATCCCAGCACTCGGGAGGCAGAGGCAGGCGGATCTCTGTGAGTTCGAGGCCGGGCTGGACCGATAGCCTCCAAAACAATACAGAGAAACCCTGTCTCGTAAAAACCAAAAAAAAAAAAAAAAAAAGAAATAAAAGCATCACCCTATTGGTGACAGTAGACGGAGTAGCTTGGAATATGGGTACATCTGAGATGTGTGTGTGTGTGTGTGTGTGTGTGTGTGTGTGTTTGTGTATGTGTGTGTATGTATGTATATATGTGTATGTATATGTATGTGAATGTGTGTGGGCATGTATGTATGTTTGTGTGAGTGTGTGTGTATGTATGTCTGTGTGCGTGTGTATGTGTGTGTGTGTGCGCGCGCGCGCGCGTGCGTGTGTGCATGTGCACACATGTTCCCTCTTAAGCATGCATGCACAGATCAGCACATGTAGAGATCTGAGGATGATTCTGAGGGCCAGTTCTCTCCTACTATATGGTCCCCAAGGATGGAACTCAGGTCATTGTGCTTATTAGCATCTGACTTTGTCCAGTAGCAACATTCCAGCCTTTTGTATTGGTTTCTTTAATCCCATATAGTCCGTGGTAGTCCAGAATTTTCTATTTAGCTAAGGATACCCTTCATCTCCTGTACCTCTTGCCTCTACCTTCAAATTACAATCATATGTAACCACACCCATGTAATTTGATTTTTGGAGTCAGTGTCTCATGTAGCCCAGGTTGTCCTTGATTTGATTTGTAGCCAAGGATGACCTTTTCCTTTTCTTCTTTATCTCTCTATTATTTTCTTTTGTTTTAAGACAGGGTTTCAGTATGTGGCAAGTGCTGTCTTGGAGCTTACTCTGTAATGTAGGGCAGACTGAATTCTTCAGTGGTCCTCTTGCCTCCAGCTTCTGAGTGCTGGGATTACAGGAGCCACAAGGCCAGGGACTCAAAGATAACCTTGAATTCCTGATCCTTCTTCTTCTGTCCAAGTTTGCAGGTACACCCTGCAAACAGTGTACCACTAAGCCCACCTCTTTTTTTCTGAGTGAATGGAACTGTGTTTCAACACCAAGCTCAGTGTGTAGACCAGGCTGACTGAGAATCAGGATCCCCCATCCCACCCTGAAGCACTGTGATACAGGCATGTGAGGGCACACCCAGCTTTGATTTAGTGAATCTGATTCCCTTTTTACAGAGTTGGGAGATGTTACCTGACTGTTTTCAAGGATGAGGACTTTAGTTCAGAGCCATTGGCCTCTGGCTTGAATTTAAAGTCCTTTCTTGGGGTAAGGTCACCCCAGGAGTGAATGTGTCGGCTTCTGGAGGTGGAGTTGACGATGAGGAAACAGCCCAGGAAAGAGACATGAGGGAACATCCTGAGGGGTGGAGGGAGGTCAGGAGAGTTCAGTGTCCTGGATGCCACTGAAGAAAATGTTCCCTGAAGAAGGAAACAAGCCAAGACTGACGACCCCAGGGCTGAGGGTATTCAGGAAGGAAGATGGCTACAAGTTCAAGTCCAAGATGGATTATCTAGATAGTCTAGTGAGTTCCTGCACAGTCTGGAGTGATACCCTACAAACAACAAATAACAATGAAAAGGAAGACATCAGGTCAATTGATCACAGGTAGACAGGTCCATCAGGAGCAGCCTGGGAACAGACTATTGGATTTATCCATGTGAAGACCTGTGTCCATCTTGACGGAAGGAGTTAGAGGCTGATGTTTTTGGACTGGGTTAAAGAAAACCGCAGAGAGGAATTAGAGTCAGTGAACAGGGACAGCTCTTGCAAGGCTGCTTCAGACTCCAGGGCTAGAGCCAGGCTCACAGAGTACGTGAGATAAATGTTGTCCTCTCCAGCACTGAGCAAAGCTGTGCTGTCCTGGAATTCCTGTGGTGCAGGGGTGAAAGAGTTTACCAGAGCAGAACTGATGGAAGCGTTTTAATGAAGAATAGACTGTGTGGACTGAAACACAGCCACTGATTCGTAGAGAAATCCTCCCAGTTAGGTGTTGAATGTCTTTTCCTCTTTGAGAAACGTTCCCTGGCCTTGCTTTATTTTGCCCCTCGTGAATTTGTCTGATGGGATAGGGATAGGCAGTGTTAACCCCTTCAGTTGAGAATAAGACCACAAACACAGTTTAAAGGCAAATTTTGAAGCAAGCTGTAACTAAATATGACCAGGTGGATGGGTTCTAGCAAGGTCCATACTTAGGTTCTCAGGAAATGGATCTGAGTCATGTTTTACAGGGGCTTAAAAAAGCAAAACTCAATTCACCACATTTACCATGAGGTCCAATCAGGGAAATGTTTATTTCATGGATCTCTTAGGCAATTATAATTAAAACTTAAAATGTAACTCTGGCTCTAACAGTCTCCTTCCCTTGAGTTGTATCTTGAGTATGTATTCTTGACTATGTATCAGGTAGCTGTTTACATTGGGATATAATAACAATAAGCTCAGTGTTACATGGACAGAAATTGTCATTTAGTTAAGGTATCAATTATCTAAGAGCCAACCAAAAATTTCAAAAACAGAAGGGCCAAAGGCCTGTAATAGCTGACATCAGAGTTACTGTCTAGAAAGAACTGGAAATGAAATGGAGACCAGTTATTTACTTCATCTCAGGTGCCCCTTTCTGCAATGATTTTTAGGGTACACGCAGATTACTTCTAATGATTCCTGGAGTGGTTTGTATACAAACAACAGTTTTCTCTTGAAGCTATGCAATAACCTCTCTGTTTTACATAGACCTGGTTGATTTCCCTATCACATTGTAGAACTATTTCAACTAATGAATCTACCTGCTGATAGTTCTGGATCTATTTTTAACAGGTACCTTTCCTGATATACCAATGGTCACTAAAAGTAGCTATTTTGTCCCCTATACCAGGGAGTTTCTTTTTGATCTAACATTCCAGTCTGTTGGGAGACAGATGTATTCTCTTCTGTAACTGCTTCCTGATGAAAAAAGACATTGTTGTCAAGCCCAGGAGGGTTGGAATGCTAGTGAAAGCCCAGGAGAAGATTCAGGCAATAGGCTATTCATCAGGTTCATCTGGTTCTCATCCCAGCTGAAGAGACAGGGAACAATCGTATTGGATATGCACATCAGTTTTCAGCAAGTCCAGGGATCTCCTTCATTTGGAGCAGGTTGTATTCAGCAGCTGATGTTTGGATGGTGTCTGTCAGACAAGTGAAAATCTACTGAGACAGATATAGACTGGGGACAGAAGATAAAGTTTAGGAGATTATAGGAAAACCTTACATTTAGCATTTTCAGGCCCATAGTCCTTGTAGTTGGATTATAGGAGTAGTACAGAGATGAGAGAGAGAGACAGAGACAGAGACAGAGAGACTATCTTCAGAAATAGACAGGTGGATAAACGTAGCCTGTTCTTGTCTGGAGTCCTTTTGAACTGTGAGAAATGTATCCAAGTATTATAACTCACTAGATTCTCTAAAGTGTACAAGATTTTTTTTAGTTTACAAAAAGACACAATAGTTTTAGATACATTACCATTACCTATACGTACTGAAATTCTCAATGTAGAAAAAGTAGGTAATATGTGTAATTAGACTCACACCTTTGACTCCTAGATTTTTCTCTGTCCAGAGAGACAGATATAGATTCGACAGAGATGTCTTTATCTCAATAAGAAGCACCTTTAAGTCTATACTTAGAAGACAACCAAAGGAAATTTAATATCTTAAGCTTGTGACTGAACCATAAGTAGTCAGTGTTCTACCAGCTTATCAGAACTCCACTGATCATTATTAAAACAATATTTTTAATTAATTTATTTATTTTATTACTTTAATTTTAGATAGCTTGCTTCACATGTCAATCCGAGTTCCCTCTCCCTACACTCCTCCCGCACCCTCCCCACCATCCTCCCCAGCCTCCCACTAGACTTTTGAAATCTTCATGTACCAGAAGCATAGTAGGGGGAAAGAAGTCTGAGATATTTCCACTTTTTCACATACCTTAAATCATTTTCTTACACCTTTATTGCTTGTATTTATATATCTCCATTTCCTTTTTTTCTTTTTTCTTTTTTGAGACAGAGTTTCTCTGTACTGTTTTGGAGGCTGTCCTGGAACTAGCTCTGTAGACCAGGCTGGCCTCAAACTCACAGAGATCTGCCTGCCTCTGCCTCCCGAGTGCTGTGATTAACAGTGTGTGCCACCAACGCCCAGCCATATCTCCATTTTCTGAGACCCGCAGAACTCACATATGTTGCTGGAATTTTCTTTCCTGTCAGATCCCACGGCTGCTTTTCAGCCCTCAATAAACACACAAAGACTTATATTAATTATAAAACTGTTGGTCAATAGCTAGGGCTTCTTATTGGCTAGCCTTTTCTTAATTATTAACCCATTTCTATTAATCTAAGTATCTCCGCATGGTCTTATCTTACAGGAGCAGGGCGCAGTCCTGTTACTCCTTCCTCCACTACATGGCGTCTCCTCTCAGTATCCCTTGGGCTACCTTTCCCAGATTTCTCCTTGTCTCCTAGCCCCATCTATCTTTCTGCCTCAATTGGCCAAACAGGATGTTATATACAGAAGGACATTCCCCCCATCACACATAGGCTTTCACGTCCTCAGACTTTATGTATCTTAAAGAATTTTCTTAGACCTTCAAACTTGGATAGACTAACCCATTTTTCTTTCCATTTAATTATTTACCAGAGACACAAGCAGTTATTACTGAGAACAGTCATTGCAAAACATGTTCCTTGAGTAGGTAGTTAAATCTGAAACCTGTTTATCTTTTAATAGAAAGCATGTTAGAAGGCAAACCTGTCCACCTTTTCTCTATAGGAGACCTAGTAGCGCTAGAAAAAGCAAGGCCTAATTTCTACAAAAGAAATGAGTTAACAAGGTGGCTGCAGCCTTGGGGAATTAAACTGGTTGTCTGTTTCTCCTAAGCTGACAAAGCTATAATTAGCCTAGTCATCAATATCATCAGAGACCTGAGAATGATAAATCATAGCAGAAAGTATAATTCAAATGGCTTATGTAGCAATTAAAAAGACAGAGACTACTCCATTATCTAGAAGGTCATCCCAGGCTCCTTTGGTCTCCATAACATTGGGGGCAGAGGTACCAGGACACCATCAGTCTTCAACTGCCAAGCCCAGAAGATGAAAGACTTTCTTGTGGAGGAGGAAGATGGGGGGGCTGACCTTACTTTGTCTAGGCAAAGTGGGGCAATCACCTCTCCATGTTCCACTTGCCCACAATTTGGGCCAGGTTCTGGCAGCTAGTGTGGCATTGGGGCAATTCTAGCCCAGTGGTTATCATTACCACAAACCATGTGGAATATGGTGCCTCATCATCTCCTTTGGAGAATTGGAGGTCACTGTTGGGAGCTGAGGGTCTCTATAATAGTAAGATTTTTCCATTAAACCTTTTCAGTAGATCTCTGAAAAATTTTAAGGACCATTATCTATCTTATATAAACAAACTTTGCTTGTTTCTAGCTACTTGATTTAGGCTTAATGTTAAAACATATATAAGAAGCTAAATAAATATTTTCCTATAATTGATCACTTTAGGATTTATCATGACTAAAAGTACAGTTCAGAAACATTAAGGATTTGACCCTTTATAAGGTGACTGGCCACTAACTTGTATGTCTTAATTATCTTTAATAGTTTACAATAATTTAATAGGTTTTTTTTTGGTTTTTATGAGACAGGGTTTCTCTGTATTGTTTTGGAGGCTATCAGTCCAACCCAGCCTCGAACTCACAGAGATCCACTTACCTCTGCCTCCCGAGTGCTGGGATTAAAGGCGTGCGCCACTACTGCCTGGCAATTTAATAGTTTTTACAAGATTAGGATTTTACAATTTTATCTCTTTTAAGTTTGAGCCATAAAACTGAAACTTTAACTCAAAATATAATCCATAAGATGACTGGCAACTTTACTCTCCTGGTCCTTTCATAGTGCACCATTACAGAATATAACTATTTCTTTGTGAATTTAGTTCTTAATTGGTCTAGGTAATAAAAACCCAGAGTAAGATATAGAGGAAAATGCTGACAGATCAGAGAGAAGTAGCAAGCCACTGCTACACTTTACCTCCTTAGAGTCTCAGCAGACAAGAAAGTTCCTGTTTCTCCCTTTTTATATCCTGTTTCCACCCAGCTACCTTACTTCCTGTCTGTCTGTATAGATCTCCAGATATTTATGGTTAGCTAGTGGCAAGCTCTATTCTCTGACCTTCAGACAGGCTTTATTCATACAAGCAAGATATCGCCACATAACCCCTGTTTTGTCTAAAATTTAAAAAGTTTATAACTAGTATAAGAAAAACTATATATAGTAAGTATAATAACTATATACAATATATAGGCAATAAGTACATTAACAATATCTAGTCCATTAACATTAGACAAAATCAGAGAAAATACTCCATTATCTGTTCTTTCTTGATGAGTCCAAAGTCTTGTACCTAATTTACTTTCTATTTTAACTTGCATTGTCAAATTATCTTTTAGTATCTTTCAAACCTATTACATTTAATACATCTTTAGTGAGTTTCTTTACTGATTCTGGTAAACAAGGAAAAATATAACTATACTATCTAGTCTTCACCTCCCTCAGAGACCCAAGAAGGAAATAATATTAAATAAGTAAACAGAAAGTGCTAACCACCAATTTCCAAAAAATTTGCAAGAAATGACAGAAACAACCAGATGCCTGGATAGTCACTCAAGATTGATCTGCAACGTTGGGGCATCCATCTTCAGCCTATAGGCCTAGCGTATCTGACAGACATTTCTGTGAAGCAAGACATTCTGAAAGACTAGACCACCTTGTCTTGGCAAGGTTTGCAGTCACTCTTTTTGATGTCCTATTTGTCCAGTTTAGACAACATACTGTCAGCAGTTGAGGCTAGGGTAGTTTCTTACCCAGTGGTTTGCTTTTGTCACAAAGAAAGTAAACTCCATGTTGAGTTTCTTTGATGCCTATTATCTTCTCTGATATAGGTTGGTGCTGCCAGGAGCATACATGTCTCATTGTCATAAAAAATAATCTGTGGTATTTAAACATGTTAAATGCCATATTCTGTAGATCTCTGAAATGATTGAAGATGGCCTGTCTTTCTAAAATATCTGTTTGACCTTGAAACATACCTAATGTGACCACAAGTTCAATTGTAATAGTTGACTAATTAGTAAACTATATTTCCTTATTATTCCATATAGTTGATAGTAATACTTTTCAAGGACTAGAGATTTGTATTACATCATTAAATGAGGTGTATAGGTACCTTGAACAATATTAGAAATGTATGTGCAGTATGTTTTAGCAAAAGTAATCTCAAATTTGTATCAATATGCAACATTTGTATACAACATACAGAAGTTCAATCCAATGTACAATATTTAAAACTAGAAGTTGCTTTTTTAAGAGTAAATTCAATAATCTACACTTTCATCTTATCATATCTACATTCATCTTTTCTTGTTTTTCAAAACAAAAACCTTGACTATAATCCCCTTTGTTCAACTTTTCTCCTGACTGTAAGCAACAACATTTTGTAACCAATCCCCCTAAATAATAACACATGCCCATAACCCAATGAGTGACCAAAAACCACACACACCACCTCTTGGGAATGTGGACATTATATTCTTAAAGTTACTTCCAGCTATCTGGGAATGATGACATCTTTAGGGGTGCCTGAAAAAATTGGCATTAATTATCAATCCAAACCATTTGTTGTCCAATCTCTGCATAAATGGCACTTACAGGGCTTGACTCAAATACTGGATACAGTAGTCTGTGAGGCTGGATCTTCTCAGCAAGTCACCTAGAAATTGTTAGTAGCAGTTAGTACTCCAAACCTGGTCTTTAGTTAATGTTGTTCAGCATAATGGTGTTGTCATAGTCCTGGTGAAATTGTCATTGTGGGGCTCAACCTTCTTTTGGAGACTTCAAATGTTGCTGTTAACGGTGGTCATGGTTCATTGTATGAAACTGATAGAGACTCAAACCAGAAACCATGTCTACATGAAGGTAGACAAAAACTTTTTCTAGAATTAGTTAGTACTCTATATGATAATTAATATCATGACAAAAATTATAAGGTTAGTAGCAATATAATAGTCCTAAATATTTATTTTTCTTCTGTTCTGCAAAAGCAGAACACAGCTTAACCACTCAACCATCACTTCGGTCTACACCACCACCACACGCTTACACTCAACCCCGTACACGCATACCAAATTAATGTCGCTTTCAATTATATTGTGGTTCAACGTTGGATTTTAGAATTTTCTGTTTGGTGGTTCTGGATAGATGGCTCAATAGTTAAGAGCACTGGAAGACCTAGATTCAGTTCCCAACACCCATATGGCAGCTTACAAGTGTTTGTAACTCCAGTTCCAAAGGACCTGAGATGCTCCTCTGGCCTCCATGATTAATGAACACGAGGGGTGCACTGACAAGCATGTAGGAAAAATACCCATGCACACAAAATAAACATTAAATAAATCCTTTAAGAGTGATGTTTCGATTCATGAATTCATCAATGTTTTTGTTTTCTAGGATTCTACATAAGCAGAATAAGCACTAACAAGATTATTGGAAAGGAAATACCTGGAGTTTATGTCCTGCCTCTAGTGACTGGGAATAACGTAACAGAGGTAAAATGACAGCTTGTTCCCTGACAGGTTTGCTGAGGGCTTTGATAGACAGTGCTGTTTGAATACTTTGCAGAGCAAACCATATCACCACTGGTTTGGTTTCATTTTGAGATATATGATTTTGCTTCGTTGCCCAGGCTGACCTGGAACTTGATCTTCCTGTCCCAGCCCACTGAGTGTTGGGATTCCAGGCATGTGTCATATTCTCATGAACTCTAATGGAGATAGGAGAGTCTCATTCTGTATATGTCACTTTTCTGTTGCTCTGATAAAAACACAATGATGAAAATCACCTTCTTATATGGGCTTGTGGTTCGAAGAGTTCATCATGGCAGAAAGGCACTGCAGCAGGAGAAGGAAGGTGAGAGAGCACAGCTTCCACTGCAAACAGGAAGCAGGGAGAGCAACCTGGCAGTGAGTCAAGGCTATGAGTCCTTAAATCCCACCCCAGTGATGTATTTCCTACGGCAAGGCTGCACCTCCCCATATCACCCCCAAACAGCACACCAACTGGGGACCACCTGTTCAAATATCTGAGCCTGTGGGGGACATTCTCATTTAAACCCTATACAACTTTTGTCCAATTAGCAGCCTTTGATTTTTCACTGCTCCTGTTTTAGGATATGGAGAATAACATCTTTAATGGCCGTTCCCAAGTATGTGAGATTCTTGCTAAGTATTTTGCTAAATTGCAGCAAGGCTACATTGTTGTTACAGTCTCCGATAGACTGGAGAGCTTGTAAGTATCCTTTTATCCAATGGGAGCATTTATATGGTGTTGATACTACGTCTATTGCAATCAAATGACTGTAAAGATTCAAATCCTCCTATAGCAGTGACAATCGGATATCCTTAAGATGTCCCTGTGAGAGCTTTGTGAACTCAATTTATTTTCTTTTTCTGTGTGTGTGTGTGTGTGTGTGTAAAAATGTTCCCCTGTGTGTGTGTGAAAACGTTCCTCTGTGTGTGTGTGCACATGTGTGAACATGACTGTAGAAGTCAGAAGTCAGTAATGTGTGTCTTCCTCTATTTTAACATTTGTGAAAATTTTTTAAATTTTATTTTATGTTAATTATGTGTGTGTGATAGGGAGGGGTGGCCAAGGGCAAATGTGAGTGCAGTGCTGACAGAGGCCAGATGAGGGCGTCAGATCTCCTCAAGTTGGAGTTGCAGGTGATTGTGAGCTACCCATTGTGTTTGCTAGGGGGCTGAACTTGAGTCCTCTGATAGAGCAGTAATTACTCTTAAGCACTGAGCCAGCTCTCCAGCCCTCTACTTTATTTAAAAAATTTTAACCTATACTTGTTTACTTACTGTGTGCATGCTAGACACTATCATGACGACGACAATGATGATGGTGATGATGGTGATGATGATGATTTTATGAACTTGTAGCTCCACTACTGTGCTAGACTGGCTGATTGAGAAGCCCCAGAGACCCTCCTGTCTCTACGTCCTCAGAGATGATATTTCTAGATTACTGTTGTGCTTAAATAATTTTTTATTTTCTTTCTGTTTTTAAGAGGAGTAGGCAACCTAGGCTCAGTTCCTCATGCTTGCAAGACAAGCATTTCACTGACTGAGCCATCGTCCCAGGCCCTCTTGATTTATTTTCTATGAAGATTTGTGTTCAGCCTTAGAGGAGGAAGATTTTGTTAGAATGTGGGTTGGGGACCCATGGTGTACTAAATAGCATAATCTGTGAAGTAACAGTTGATACACTCCAATCTGACAGCCACCTTTGATTTCTCCAGGAAGGAACTGGCTGAGGGATGCCCCATACCTTCCATGAAAGATATGATCTTAGTTTCTGACAGAAAATTAATAAGGTAAGTTACACTTTTTCTTTTGTATTACTTATTTATTTATTTTATATTCCATCACAGTTTCCCCTCCCTCCTCTCCTTCAAATACCTCTCCCCATACCCCTGTTGCTCACATCCCCCAACCCACTCCTGCATTCCTGTTCAGGAAAGGGAAGGTCTCCCATGGATATCAATAAATAATGGCACATCAAGCTGTAGTAGGACGAAGCACCTCCCCTGTATTAAGGCTGGGTAGGGTGACCCAGTATAAAGAATAGGGTCCCAAAATCTGCTAAAAGAGTCAGACAGCCCCTGCTCCCACTGTGAAGAGTCCCACAAGATAACCAAGCTACACAACTCTAACATACATTCAGAGAGCCTAGGTCAGCCCCATGCAGGCTCCCCAGTTGTCAGTTCAGTCTTAATGAGCCCCTATGGGACAAGATTAGTTTATTCTGTGGACTTTCTTGTGGTGTCCTTGCATACTTTGGTTCCTATAATCTTTTCTCCCTCTCTTCTGTAGGATTCCCCGAGCTCTGCCTGACAAATCCCTGTGGATCTGCATCTGTATCCCTCGTACATGGATGAAAGCTAGGTACCGATCTATGATTATAGCAGGTACCAATCTATGATTAATAATGCTAGGTACTAATTTATGATTACAGCAGAATATCATTGGGCATAACTATATTGGCTTTTCTCCCCTCCAGTTGTGTTTGGTTCTATCCTAGGTATCTGAGTGATCCAGCCTATGGGTCCTGGTGCTTCAGGCAGTATCAGGGGTAGGCTTAACCTCCTGGCGTGGGTTTTAGGCTAGGCCAGCATTGGTTGGCCACTCCTATAATCTATAGGCCACGCTTACCTCAGCACATGTAACAGGCAGGGCAGACTGCAGGTCAAAGATCATGTGGCTCAATCGGTTTCCCACTTCCTCTACTTGCAGTCTTGCCTGGTCACAGGATACGGCCAGGCGATGTATCCATGACTACTAATAGTCTTAGATGGGATCATCCTTATAGATTCATGGGGGATTCCCTTGCACCAAGCATTTATCTGACCTTGAAATGCCCCCTATTTCCAGTAGTCTCCATACCTGCAATCTGATCATTCATGTTCCCATTCCCACCTGCCTGCAGTCAATTCATGAAATCTCTTCTATTTTCCCTTCCCTGGGAGATCCACCCACCCCCCACTTAAATAATCCTTGTTACCTTGACTCTCTGAGTTTGTGGACTGTAGCATACTTATCCTTTATATTACAGCTTTTATCCACTTCTGCGTAAAAACATACCATGTTTGTCACTGTAGGTATGGATTATCTCACTCAGGAATATTTTTTGTAGTTCCATCCATTTGCCTTCAAACTCATGACGCCATGCTTTTAATAGCTGAGAAGAGTCCGTTGTGTATATGTACGACATTTTCTTTGTCTATTCCTCAGTTGAGGGACATCTAGGTTGTTTGCTAGATGTGGTATTTACCCAAGAGTAGTATAGCTGGGTCTTGTGGTAGATTGATCCCAGTTTCCTGAGAAACTACAATATTGAATTCCAAATGCCTGAACAAGTCTGCCCTCTCATGAGCAATAGAGGTGTGTTCCTCTTGCTCCAAATCCTTGCCAGCATAAGCTGTCATCACTTGTATTTTTTCCTTATCTTAAACATTATGTCAGGTGTAAAATAGAATCTCAGGGCTGTTTTATGACTGAAGATGTTGAAATTCCACATTTTAAAAAAGATTTTGTTTGATTTTTTCTTTGTTTGTTTGTTTTTTTGTGGGGTGGTGGTGGCACACGCCTTTAATCCCGGTACTCAGGAGGCAGAGGCAGGTGGATCTCTGTGAGTTCAAGACCAGCCTGGTCTACAAGAGCTAGTTCCAGGACAGCCTCCAAAGCCACAGAGAAACCTTGTCTCGAAAAAAAGTTTTCTTTTAAAATTATTTTATGCATTTGGGTGTTGTTCCTGTATGTATGTCTAAGATAATGTCTGATTATCTGGAATTGGAGTTACAGACAGCAGTGAGCTGCACAGTGCTGGCAATCACTCTGGAACTTAACTAACTTAAGGACCTCAGCTCTCAACTGTGGAGCCTTCTCTCCAGCCCCAACTTTCACTTCTTTGCCCTCATTGCCCTGTTTTCTAATCTGGATCCACCTCATACTTTCCATTTCTGTTTTCTTTGAGATAAAGGCTTGCTTTGTATCCCAGGCTGGACTCAAACATTAGCAACACATTTGCCTCATTCTTCTAGACGCTAGGATATAATCATGTGCCATCACACCCAATATCCAATCATTTAAAGAAAAAACTTCGTAGTTTGATTATATTTGAAGTCAACTGCCCCTATCTAACTGATTTCTGCATCATAATCACAAACCAGCCATCTCTGAAGAGGAAGCAGGAAGTTTCTTGGGATCACAAAGCTCTATGGCACAGGAGAATCATTAGGTGATACCCCCTCTCTCTCTAACATAATTGACAGGCTTTCGTGGAGGAGAGAAGGTTCCAGCCATGTGGCAGGCAGTAGTTGGAGAGTGTTTGTATGTGTGTGCATGTGTCTGTAGGACCAGAGGAGGGTGTCAGATTCCCTGACGCTGGAGTACAGGCATCTGTGAAACAACTGATGTGGATGTTGATCCTAATGTGGGTCCTTTGGAAGGGCAGTGTACAATCAATATTAAGTTATCTCTCCACCCCCTAAAATTAATTTTCATTACATTCCTTCATGAATTATGTGTTTGTGGTCACACCAGTGCCATGGTGTGCTTGTGAAGGTAGAGTACAATTAAAGGAGTCAGTTGTGTCTTTCTTTCATATGGTCCTCAGGGATGGAACTCAGGTCATCAGGCTTGGCAGCAGCTGCCTTTACCTGCTGTAGCATCTCCACAGAGAGCAGTCAAGGATGCCTCCAAGTTATCAGTTTGAGCAACT